CCCGGCTCCTGGACTCGGGGCGGGGAGCGCCGTCCTTTTCTCGGTCTCTACTGCCCCCCGCTGGCGGCAGCGTGCATCACAGCATCCGACGGATGGGGGACTCGAGTCCTGGAGGGCCAGGGCCGGCGAGTCTGTTCTGAGGCTAGGCGAGCGGGGTGCGCAGCTGACGGGCACCAGCGCGCTGTGCCAGACAGTGGATGAGGCGGGGCAGCGTGGCGCAGGGTGTGGAGTAGGCAGGATTTGGGACCTGCGGCTTCCACACCCTGAATGCCCAACCCACCCCCCAGCCCTGGCCAACACAGGAGAGGCTGCGCCTTCACGCAACCGCAAGGTCCCCCATGGGTGGCCCCGACCCTGTCGGGGGGCCGTGCCCACCCTGCTCACACTGGGCCCAACCCAGACCACCCAGCCGTGGGAAGGAGGGGAGGGTGTAGCTTGGCAGGGCTCAGCTCTGTTCTGGCACTTGTCTGTCTGGGTGTGTGCGTACCTGAGCTCTGTCTCCTCTTGGTTCTCCCTGTCCGCCTGTGTCCTTTTCTCCCTTCCTCCCTCCCTCCGTTTCTCTTCTCCTCTCTGACAACCTGCCCCACCTCCTCTGCAGCTCAGTGATAACCCCTGGGCAAGAGAGTTACCTAATCTCCTCTCTTCTGGCAGCCTCCGGCCTTCATCCTCTGCTTTTCTTTCTCCCAGCAGACGCCTGCCTGCCCTGGCAGCCATGAGGCCCCTGTGGTGTCCCCTGCACACGCCCTCCCTGGCCTCCCCACTCCTTCTCCTCCTCCTCTTCCTCCTGGGAGGAGGGACAGAGGCTGAGGACCCGGAGGATCCAGAGCTGCTGGTGATGGTGCATGGGGGCCGGCTGCGGGGCGTCCGCCTTATGGCCCCTGGGGGTCCTGTCTCTGCTTTTCTGGGCATCCCTTTCGCGGAGCCACCTGTGGGCCCCCGTCGCTTTCTGCCACCAGAGCCCAAGAGGCCCTGGCCAGGGGTGCTGGACGCCACAGCCTTCCAAAGTGTCTGCTACCAATATGTGGACACCTTGTACCCTGGCTTTAAGGGCACCGAGATGTGGAACCCCAACCGTGAGCTGAGCGAAGACTGCCTCTACCTCAACGTGTGGACACCATACCCCCGGCCTGCATCCCCCACCCCTGTCCTCATCTGGATCTACGGGGGTGGCTTCTACAGCGGGGCCTCCTCCCTGGATGTGTATGATGGCCGCTTCCTGACCCAGGCCGAGGGGACTGTGCTGGTGTCCATGAACTACCGGGTGGGAGCCTTCGGTTTCTTGGCCCTGCCAGGGAGCCGGGAGGCCCCAGGCAACGTGGGTCTGCTGGATCAGAGGCTGGCTCTGCAGTGGGTGCAGGAGAATGTGGCAGCCTTCGGGGGGGATCCAACATCAGTGACTCTGTTTGGGGAAAGTGCAGGTGCAGCCTCAGTGGGCATGCACCTGTTGTCACCACCCAGCCGGGGCCTGTTCCACAGGGCTGTGCTGCAGAGCGGTGCACCCAATGGGCCCTGGGCCACGGTGGGCGTGGGAGAGGCCCGCCGCAGGGCCACACTGCTGGCCCGCCTGGTAGGCTGTCCCCTGGGAGGCACTGGTGGCAATGACACAGAGCTGGTCGCTTGCCTGCGGACCCGGCCAGCTCAGGACCTGGTGGACCACGAGTGGCACGTGCTGCCTCAGGAAAGCGTGTTCCGCTTCTCCTTCGTGCCTGTGGTGGACGGAGACTTCCTCAGTGACACGCCCGAGGCCCTCATCAACGCTGGAGACTTCCACAGCCTGCAGGTGACTAGTGGCTGGAGGGGTTGGAGCTGGTTCTTCTAGGCCTGTTCTCCCACCCATCCCTCCCCCTGGGGACCCAGGCATGAGGGCTCCTCAGATCCACTCCCAAAGGCTCTGGCTTCTGTTACCCTGGCCACACTCTCCTCCCTGAGGGCTGAATCCCAGGGTGGTCAGTGGGACAGAGGAAAGGACATGTGGGTATATTTTCTCTCTCTCTGCCCCTTCCCCAACCTTGTACTCCTTGCCTCCACGGTTCTGGGTCTATAACCGTTCATTTCTCTGGCTCTTTGTCCATCTGTTTCTGTCTGCCTGTCTGTCTGTGCCCCTGCCCTTGTCCCTCCATCCTGTCCCCCCAGGTGCTGGTGGGTGTGGTGAAGGATGAGGGCTCCTATTTTCTGGTTTACGGGGCCCCAGGCTTCAGCAAAGACAACGAGTCTCTCATCAGCCGGGCCCAGTTCCTGGCCGGGGTGCGGGTCGGGGTCCCCCAGGCGAGTGACCTGGCTGCCGAGGCTGTGGTCCTGCATTATACAGACTGGCTGCACCCTGAGGACCCGGCGCGCCTGAGGAAGGCCATGAGTGATGTGGTGGGCGACCACAACGTCGTGTGCCCCGTGGCCCAGCTGGCTGGGCGACTGGCTGCCCAGGGTGCTCGGGTCTATGCCTACATCTTTGAACACCGCGCGTCTACACTCTCCTGGCCCCTCTGGATGGGGGTGCCCCATGGCTACGAGATTGAGTTCATCTTTGGGCTCCCCCTGGAACCCTCGCTAAACTACACCATCGAGGAGAGAACCTTTGCCCAGCGACTGATGAGATACTGGGCCAACTTCGCCCGCACAGGGTCAGCAGTGCTGTGGGGAGGAGGGCCTCTGGGAGCCAGGGAGGCAAGGAGGGGACAAACAGAGAGAGAGAGAGACAAGCAGAGACAGACAGAACTGGCCAGAGAGGGAAAAGTTCACAAAGGAAAGGAGACAAAGGGGGAGAGAGAGCCCAACAAAGGAGACCCAGAGAGGAAGGGAGGTGGGATGGCAGATCCTGAAGAGATGAGGACAGAGGTGGAGGGAGGCGAAGCGAAGAGAGAGACCAGGAGAGAGACAAAGGAGTCACCACAGTAGTCAGGAGCATGAACTGTAGAGCCGGCTCAATTGGACCAGTAGTGATTTTATTAACTGTGACTGGGTGTGCACGCACGCACACATACACACACTCTTTACCTGTCTGAAGGAGACAATAAATCCAACATCACTTGGGTGATGTCAAAAGTACAGGTGATGTTTGTAGAGACAGGATGGTTACATAGTAAGGACTCAATAAACCGTAGCAATTTTTTAAATGGGAGAAGCAAAGACAAAGATGGAGCAGAAAAACAGGGAAAGGGAGAGACAGAAAGAGGGAGGGCAGAAGGAAGGGGCAGACTCCAGATGATGCCGGTACTGGAGAAGAGAAAGAAGGGTTAAAGAGCTGGTGGGAGGGAGGGCACGGGGTCAGGAAGCGGCCTGCCCCCTCCTACCCTCCATCTCCCGTCCCCAGCCCCCAGGGCAGGGAAGGCTTGGCTGAGGCTGAGCCTTCCCCTTCCTCCCGCAGGGACCCCAATGACCCCCGGGAACCCAAAGCCCCGCAGTGGCCACCGTACACGGCGGGAGCGCAACAGTACGTGAGCCTGAACCTGCGGCCGCTGGAGGTGCGGCGGGGGCTGCGCGCCCAGGCCTGCGCCTTCTGGAACAGCTTCCTACCCAAATTGCTCAGCGCCACCGGTACGCAGGGGCCAGCGGGCGGGGCTGGGTGAAGGGGGGAGAAAAGGGGAGCGGAGAGAGAGAGGGGAGGAGTCGGCCGGGTATAACCCCTCTCTTCTCCCCCCAGCCTTGGAGGCTCCCAGCACCTGCCCAGGCCCCGCCCACGGGGAGGCTGCCCCGAGGCCCAGGCCCGGCCTCCCCCTGCCCATCCTTCTCCTCCCCTTCCTCCTTCTCTCCCGGCTCCTGCGGCTGTGACAACGGCCTCTTCCCCCTCCGGCCTCAGGGGGCCCCTCCTCTAAGGAGTGGTCGGACCGTGGGGAAGGGCCCCACTCAGGGATTTCCGACCCAGAGCCCCCTCCCTCCTCAAGCCAAGACTCAAATTGGACACGGCCGAGGGCGGGGGGCGGGGAGGGGTGTGACCTACGACCTGTCTCAGGGACACACACGCCTTTGTTGTTTAAATGGAAATGAAAAAGCCAATTTTCTTTTTTTATGAAATTATTCTTTGGAGCCTGAGCCTGGTTTTGGGGGGAGAGGGAGGACCTGGGGCTATTAGCATACCCCAGTGAGGCTATAACCGTCAACCATTTCTGTCTCTTCTCTTTTCCCCACCAACCCACGGATCCTCCCCCTTCTGATCCCGTCTGTCCCCCTGTCTTCTGGTCATTTTCTCCCCCTCCCTCCTCCTCCCCGCCATCCTTCTCGGGCCCCGCCTCTACCCTCATCCTCTGGTCTTCTGTCTGCCGCTTATCCTCCTGATCCTCTCTCCACCATCCCACGTGTCCTCCCTGCACTCACGCCCCCCCACCATGTCCGTTCCTCGACCTTCCCCACGTCCTCCCCGCACCCACTTGCCGGGCGCCCTGGCCGCAGACACGCTGGACGAGGCGGAGCGCCAGTGGAAGGCCGAGTTCCACCGCTGGAGCTCCTACATGGTGCACTGGAAGAACCAGTTTGACCATTACAGCAAGCAGGATCGCTGCTCAGACCTGTGACCCAGGCGGGACCCCCACGTCCCCGCCTTGCCCGTCCCGCCCGGCCCCCTAGTTGTATATACTATCTATTTAAGGGCTGGGATAGAACACAGAGGAGCCCTAGCCTCTGCCCACCCCGACTTTCCCCGGGGCTCCCCGTCCTCTGCATGTCTTGGGCCGAGCCCCTTTCCCCGCGGTGCCTTCGCCCCTCTGGGCTGCCAATAAACTGTTACAGCCACAAGAGTGTGCGCCACTGGGGAGCGGGGGCCGGACAGAATGCCTTGACCAGTGGGGCCGAGTGAACGGAGGAGAGGGTGCTGGAGGCGGCGGACGTGCGGACCGCCGAGGTGGCGCCCGCACGCCGCCGCCGCCGCCCCTTCCCGCGAGGCGGAGCTCGCGCCTGCGCAGTACAAACGGCGGGGCGGGCGCGGCGGTGCATTGTGGGAGCCCCGCGCGTCCGCGTGGGCCCCGCGGCCGTGGGACCGCTTTCCTTTCTGCTGCTGCTTGGGACGGTCCTGCCCGCTGCCAGCCCGAGACCCAGGGCCGAGAGAAAGCGCTAGAGCCCGGAGTTCCCACCGACCTGCCGGGAGGACGCACCTGCCCGGCGCGGCGAGAGCCGCTCCCGCCCACCGCCCTGGAGCTGCTAAAGGACGTCCACCTGGGCCTAGCCCCGCCCGGCCGCGGCCCCGCTCGCGTGGCCGTTCTCTCAGGCCACTACCTCTACTATCACTACGGCTGCGACGGCCTGGACGACCGGGGCTGGGGCTGCGGCTACCGCACTCTACAGACGCTGTGCTCGTGGCCAGAGGGCCGGGCCGCGGGCGTGCCCGAGCTGGGTGCCGTGCAGGCGGCCCTGGAGGACATGGGCGACAAGCCCCATGGGTTCCGGGGCTCCCGGAGCTGGATCGGCTGTGTAGAGGCCAGCCTCTGCCTGGACTACTTCGGAGGGCCCCAGGGGCGCCTATGCCACGTGCCCCGTGGAGCAGGGCTTCAGGGGGAACTGGAGAGGCTTTACTCCCACTTCGGAGGGGGCGGGGGGCCTGTAATGGTTGGGGGGGATGCGGATGCCCGTTCCAAGGCCTTGCTAGGAGTCTGTCTGGGGCCAGGCCCTGAAGCCTATGTCCTGGTGTTGGACCCTCACTGCTGGGGTGCTCCAAAAAACTCCAGTGAAATACAGGCTGCTGGGTGGGTGGGCTGGCAAGAGATAAGCACAGTCTTTGACCCCAACTCCTTCTACAACCTGTGTTTGACCAGCCCTAACTCCAAAATGCAGCAGCATGCCCTGGACTGAGGCTAAGGTCCCAGAACTGTCTCTGGCCCCATACACACTCACCTAGCCGCCTTTCAAAGGCAGAAGCTGCATGATGTCAGGCCCCCAGGAAGTCGCAGCAGAGACTGGGGCCTTTGGGGTCAATAAAGTGGTAAAGAGTCAGCTAACCACGGCCCCAGCTGATTTTTGGGAGAACTGGGGAAGTATATAATATATAGCCAGTCAGGAGTCTGTGGAAGTGCTTTTATTGGCAGTAGGGCTGAACGTACAAAAAATGAGAGCTGGATGGGACAAGGCAGTCACAAGTATAGGTATCAGGAGTAAGGAAAAGTAGGCGGCTCAAAAGAAATCCACGTCATCTGGAGCATCCAGGTCACGGTATTCCACAATGGCCCGTGGGTCTCCACGGACCATCCTGTGAGATGACAAAGAGGTAAGATGGGATGAGAGTTGAGGGCCCCCGACAGAGTCTGAAGAGGCAAGAATGCTTGGACATCTTGGCTCATTCTCACCTGTTTCGAGGTTTCCCAGGATAACCTCCCTGGCCTCGGAAGGCATCATAGTTCCCTCGGCCAGCACCATACGGGGCATGCGGGTATGGAGGCCCTCCTGTGGGGACTGCAGGGCGGACAGCACCAGCTATGAAAAAGATCAGTGTTGAGTTGAAAAACTATGACCTCAACTACATCCTAGCTAAGTTTTCTTTCTGCCAGCCCCTCACAACCACCAAGCCGCCCTTGCAACTCCCTCTTGCACTTACCTCCATAGCCCAAGATGGGGGGCCGGGGCTGACCATAGGGCATCAGGCCCTGGGGAGTCTGGTGTGGGTAGGGGAGTCCCGGGGTCAGGCCTGGGGGGAGTACAACACAGACAGGAACATGAATTACTGCGGGGGGTGGGGAGGGGGCAATGACAACTGGCTAAATGCAAATTAAAAAGAGAACCAGGAGTCTGAATAGTCAAGGGAGAGGAATGTGGCAGACCCTCATGGATCGTATCTTACTCTGCGCAGGGCCAGGTGGCTGAGCTGGCTTGATCTCCGGCAGAGCTGGGCGCTTGGCATCGGTGAGAAAGTTGTTAAAAAACGCCACCTCTTTCTTCACTTCCTCAATTTTCTCTGCATGCTTGTTGAAGATATGTTTGCGTACAAACTCAGGGCCCTGGGTGAAAAAAGAGAGTCAGAACAGAGCGAGCACTGGGGGTTCCCTAAATCCCAGACCCAACCTGGAAGGTAATCAACCACCCCTCCCACCAATCCCACTAAGCAGTTGCCTCCTCGGGCTTTGAGGAGGCTTCCTGGCTCAACCCCCTCCCCCACACTCTAACACACAACTCGCTAACATCCCAGACCTTGAATTTCTTGCCACTGAGAGGGCATAGCCACTTATCCTTGCCCAGTTCCTGGGTGTTAGAGGTGACAAACTTTTCCACTTCCTGCTCAGGGTCTTTGCGACCCATCTTCTGGGCCTCTTCCTCTGAAAGAGATTCCCGCACACTCAGCAGCGGAGTCAGCTTCTCCTCAAATGTCTTCTGCCACTCTAGCACTGTGGTTTGGGGACAGAGACAAGACAGCAGGTTGGAGAAGGGAGCCAGAGCAAGGAATAGGAAAGGAAGGGATTAGAGAAGAGGGTGGCAAAACATTGCTACCAGAGCAGAACTAAGACCAGAGGCAGCTGGGGAGAAAGGGAAACCAAAGGGGAATCAGAAGTGGGGGGCTGGGAGCTTACCTTCTCCATGACTGATGCGGTTGGGTGGCATGGGCCCCCGAACATGGATGATGCCACAACGGTTGGGCATTTCATCCTCATTGGGGTACTCGCACGTGTTATAATAATCCAGGGAATGCACAATGCGCAAATAGAGAAGGAGTTTGTCCAAAACCTAAGAGAAATGAGAAGCCGTGAGTTCACCAAACTCTTGCCCCTTTGCTGCCCCAAGCCAGGCTCTGCTCTCGCCGGCACCTTGATGAGCTTCTCATCCCGCTCCACATTGATCTCCGCTGGGTTTCCTTCCTTAGGAGGCTCCTCAGGGGGCGCCCCCCCACTGCTCCCCAGCAGCTCCTCCTCCTCAGCACTCACTTCCTCGATCAGGTAGTCAGTGATATTCTTCAAGATGGGGTTCTGCGAGGGCAGGCTCTGGCAGGGAGGGAGATGTGGGGCAAGTGAGGCAGAGAAAACCCCTCAGGTTAGGTAGCCTAGGAACCTCCTCATTTGAGAGACAAGGTGAAGGAGGAGTTCAGGGCTCACTCAGCCTAACTAGTATCATTGCCTCATTATCTGTCTTCATTTTTGTATTTGGTCTACCCTAGCCCACAAATGATCACTAATGCCAGTCTGTTCTGTTGGAAGCGAGAGGTGCTGCCCGATAGATGAGAGGCAAACAAGCAAGTGGGTACAAGAGGTCAATGCCAGAGGTGCCCTCAGATGAGGTGGCATCAGCTGCTTTTGAAAAAGTCCCATGGGGAGTGACTGACTGTTGGCAGAGGAGGTGTCCCAGGCTCAGAGGCCCAGAGCTGGGTCCTGTCGTCCAGCGTATGGATCAGCTTGGCTGCCAGCTTGATGTCGTTGCGCACTATCTGCTTGTGCTGGGTGATGCCGTTGATGTTGCGGACGCGACGGGTCAGGTCTCTGTTCACGCCAGGGCTCAGCTCACACTCTCGGAGCTGGAGGGAACAGAGAGCTTACCAACACTTGCCCAAGAAGTAGCAACTCAAAGGCTGGCCCTATTGAGAGCACCAGTGATTAGACTGTGAGCTCCCTGAGGACAGGGACCAGGGGTGTCTTGTTCCAGGTCACAGGCCCAGAGCCTAGCCCAGACACAGGAGTATATAGTTAATGTGAACAGACATAATGGATGAAATAGGGGGCAGAATGAATGAAGCAATCAACAAGCAAAGGAATCAGAGGCGTGTGCAGCATGGAGAGCCCCACTTTCTCTTCCTCAAAACAGTCCCCCTCCCAGCACTCACTCGAATATTCTGCAGGTTCCAACAAATCTCTTTGATGTTAACACTGCGGTCAAAGGTCACCCAGCCACGACGGAAAAACCTAAACAAGGAAGAAAACATCAGCATAATCCTGGGGTGGAGGTGATGTTGGCCATTAACCTCCCCTGCACCTTTTCTCCAAGGAATCCGGGGTCACACTTCTTTCCATTCCTCACCTCCTCTCCGGCTGAGGCTCTGACAGTGCCACACGCATAAAGCCGGGATACCTTTTACAAAGCTGGAAAAGCAGAGGAACAGAAACCCCATTTAGTGATTCTAGGATTCACTTCTTCCTCCAATCCCCATGTTCTCAGAACCCTGGGGAACTGCCTTTACATCTTTACTCAGACAAGGAGAAAGCAAAAAACAGCTTAAGAATTAAAGCACTTGAAAGCACATGGTGCGATTAGGGCCAGCCCTCAAAGGGCATGGGCCCGTGGAAAGGGGGGCTCCCTATTAATGCCCGTGGAAAGGGGGGCTCTCTATTAGAGAAAGAGGAATCTATGTCAGAAGCAGGGCCAGATCGTCTTCTCCCTGCCGTGCCCCTCGATGTCATCTCTGCCTCCAGTACCATTTGTGACCACTCACAGAAATGATCTCAGCCCGGGAGATGTTGGGAGCGATGTTGCGCATGAAGAGAGAGCAAGTCTTATGCAGGGGCCGGGGTTTACATTCCAGCCCAGGGGTGTCCTTAGGCTTCTCCCTTTCTTCCTCCTTGGGCTTCTCCTTTTCCTTGAGCGCTTCTTCTATGCAGAAGTGGTGGGAGTTGGTGAATTTTTACTGGTGATTTTGCAGTGGAGGATAGAGAAGCTGTCAAACTCGCCCCCCCCCATCAATTTCTTACCTCCCCCACCCTTGTTCAGTAGAAAAAGAATGGACTAGAAGCAGAAAATAAAACCTACCAGCATCCTCCTTCTCCTCCTCAGCTTGGCCACTCTCAGACTCCGACTCCGACTCAGACACACTGCCCTCGTCAAAGCTGTCCTCACCACTGTGCTTTCTGTTCCGCTTCTTGCTACTCTGTGATGGCCACAGCAAGAGGAGGTGAGCAGACAACCAGGACCCCTGACACTGACCCCATGCAACAGCTGTCCTACCTTTTTGGCTTCTTTCTCCGAGTCGTCTTTCTTCTCTTCCTTGTCCCCATCACCCTCGGATTTCTTAGTTTTGTCATCACTAGAACTGTCATTTTCAGCCTACAGGTGGAGACAATCACTGGGGATGTCGATGTCCCCTTCAACCTTTATCAGAGGGCCCCCCCACCCTCTACAGCAGAGCCCAGAAGTTCGCCTCTCCTCCACCCAACACACAACCCCCTAGTTCCAGTTCCTCTGGAGCCCACACCACCCAAGCAGCTCTGTTCTCCCCAGGCCCTCACAGGCAGCACCCAGAGGCCCCAGCACTCAGACCTGTTTGCTCTCTTCTTTCTTGTCATCCTTATCATTGGCCTTGCGCTCTCCATCCCCCAGGACTGGTCCAGCCCGGCCTTCCTCTTTCTTGCTGGGCTCCCCGGGCTTTCCTGCCTGTTCTTCCTCCTCCTCCTGCTCCAGGATGCGTAGGTCATTCTCTGTACCTCCTTCCATCTTAATCACAGCTACCAATAAAGGGAGCAGAGGTCAGAGTCCAAGGGCCCTGGACTTCAGCCTCTGGCTTTCTGTCACCCTAATTCTATTTCCCAACCAAGACCTTGGTCACCAGACACCCCCACCTCTCCCAATCCACACACCTGCATCCAGCATCTTGACAATGGCATCAGCTTTGTCTATGTCCAGGAGAAGATTATCAAACCAGCCACTCTCCATGAGGGACAGGAATACCCTCAGTCGGTTTTGCAGGGCCCCCCGGGCCTCCTGCCGACGCTTCCCCACCTCATCTGGGTGGTACTTAGACCGAAACCTGGGAAGGAAGGGGGGAGGGAAGAGACAAAACAGTTACTGGAGGCCAGGGCCAGGACATGGGGAGGGGCCCAAGAAAGTTAGGGCATAGCCCCCATCCTCTCACACCCATAAAAGCAGAGAGATTGAGGAGAGGGGCTAGAACCACCCAGTACCCCCAAAATGAGCCAGAGGTTATACTCTGAGATTTGGGGGAGAGCCAAGAACTAAGAGCTCTGGATCTGGGAAGAGCAATGACTATAGGGGGAGGCCAGGACTGAAGAGGCAGACTGCCTTACGTCTCTGG